GTACAGTGGAAGCAGGCAGCACACAAAAACCAGGATCAACTTATCCACAGGTGAACATGAGTACTGTTATCTTACCTCTCATGTATAAAAGGAACCATCCTCTGAGTAGAATGGCAAAAAGCGAAAGTATCTTCCCCTATAAACCATTGTATCTTCCCCTATATAAACCAACGCATATTCCCCTATATAAACGAATGTATCTTCCCCTATAAACCATCAAGGACTTTAAAATCTTCTGGAGAGGCCCTGCTCTCAATCCCACCACCTTCGTAGTCGCACTTGGTGAGGACGAGAGACAGGGCCTTCTCTGTGGTGCCCCCTCCCCCGGCTATGGAACTCTCTCCCCAATGAGGTTAGGTCTTCCCCCTCCCTCTTGACCTCCAGGAAGAAACTGAAATCCTGGCTTTGGAATCGGGCATTTGCAGATTGATGGATTGAACCGGTAAAGGCTAAGAGGTATTGGACCACAATGTTTGGATTGAGTTGGATGATGTTTTTAACTCAGCGAACTGTCTTTTATATGTATTTTATAACTTATTTATTGTGTATGTTGTTTTTAAAATGTTATTTATTGTGTAGCATTGAATTTTTGCTGTTGTTAGCCATTCTGAATCTCTCCACGGAGGTAGAGAAGAACAGGATATAAAAGTTCTAAATAAATAAATAAATAAATAAAAGCTCCACGCATCCTGGGAGAACCTAAAAGAAGCATTGACACCCTCCCCCCCTTTCTGTTCACTCCACTGTTTCACCACTTCTGGGCTTTTTGAGTGGGGAAATGGTAGCGATAAGCAATGATGTCTAGCCCCTGAGGTGCACTGGCACTTTCTCCTCTTCTCTGAAGGATCCATAATTTTGGTCTCAAAACCTGCCCCCCTTAAACAATAAGTCAATTTATGCATTAATATATAAGATCATTTAATAGGTGTTTTGAATGCTCACAAAATGGATCCAGCAGAGATAAGTGAGCTGTGTCTACAACTACTAAAAGAATCACAGACAACAGCCATCTGTAGCAGACAGACTATCTATGCTTTAGCCGCAATGATGAGAAACACATCAGTTGGGGAAAGATTTTTTTCTTCCAGGTACAAAATATATTCCTTATAATGCTGGGGAAAACATGATTCATCCGTGTTACATAAATGACAGCCTGGAGCAAAGACAGTGGGACTCAGCATCATAAATCGGCGGTTACACTTAAGAGTGTAGGGAGGGAGACCTTTAGTTCAATTCAAGAGCAAAAGCAGTGGCTGACTGGCCGTTTGGATTTGCAGAAATTTCAACCATGAACTAGTCCCAGGCTAGAACCTTTGTTCCCTATTTCAGTTCCAGCTCTCTCTGAATAATGGAAGAACTGTCAATCTCTGAAATGCTTACAGAAATCCCCACCTAAACACAGACTGGGATCTTACTGTTCAACAGAAGATTCTGGCATGAAGAAGCTATGTTGTTGCTCCATAACAAATGCATTTCTGGGTGGCACTACTGAACAGGTTGGGATTAGGCATTTGCATTACTAAAGATACATTGCTTTCAGAATATTTCCTTCCCTTAACAGATTGTACTGATCTATTCTCAGTATTTTCTTATTCAACAGACTAGCCCTCCTACACCACCCAGTGTCTTGCAGATAACATTGAGTACATTCCAACCTATTTATTATGTAAATCCCATAATGCAATTGACATGGGAAACAGTTCATAGACCTTCAGTCTGATAGACAAAGGGAGGCTCCTAACCCAAAATTATTTTATTCTCAGAACTCTAGTTAACTCTCAGTATTACCATTCATTATAACAGTTGAGTTATAAATGATTAAGAGCAGAGGTTCCCAAATTTGGATCCCTAGCTATTGTGTTTTGGACTTTTGGTGGCCCTAGCCTGGAGTTTATTGACAAAACTCCTTCAGAGGGTTTTTCCTTTTGCCTCCCTCTGAGGCTGAAAGAGTATGACTTGCTCAAGGATACCAGTGGGTTTCTATGGCTGAGCATAGGAGCAAGGAGCCCCTATGTATTGCACACCGCAAGCCGGCAAAAGGTCGTGCAGTGGGTTAAACCCAAGTGCCGGCAGGACTGAAGACCCACAGGTACCAGGTTTGAATCTGGGAAGAGTGCAGATGAGCTCCCTCTGTCAGCTCCAGCTCCCCACGCGGGGACATGAGAGAAGCCTCCCACAAGGGATAGTAAAACATCTGGGCATCCCGTGGGCAATGTTCTTGCAGACAGCCAATTCTCTCACACGAGAAGCAACTTGCAGTTTCTCAAGTCACTCCTGACACGAGAAAAAACAAAACAAAACAACTCTACTATTAGGGTGCAATTCCACAAATCACTGCTCTTTGGCCAAGCTCATTGGGACTTTAAAGAACAAATGGATCCAAGCTTGAAAATCATGGATTTGTCTTACCATTTTATCCAGTAGTTACAAGAAAAAAGCAGTGCTGAGATGAACACCCTCCCCCCATAAATACAAAGCAAGGCACACCACAACCATATCAGGGTTTTTTTTTCCACATGTGGAACAAGAGTTGTGATAAAGTTCAGACTTCTACTAGCCCCCATGGCTTTTTAAAAGATGAACCCAACACCCTACATCACACACAGAATAGATGTATCTCTGCACAAAACATAGTGAATTCGTCTTTCTGTTCTCAGCACGCACATTCTCTCAACAATACAGGCAACCATGCTTTCAAAGATATAACCTATTCTACAGGCTGAAGAATAACTGAGCCAGGTATGTGTTTCTGACAGGATACGTCTTAGCTTTCCAATTAAAAGTTAATTGCCTTTGTCATTAGAAAGGCTCTCTCTGTTCATTTCCCCTGAAATTTGCTCAACAGTAGATCTTCCTTAATAAGCAATAAACACATAGCAGGACACACTTGTAGAATCAGATTTAGGAGATTAGAAATAGCTTTTAATATTTCCATCATAATCTTTTAATTTAGAGCTGACTCCAAATCAAATAGAAAGTTGGTCTTACCTGTGATACGTTCATTTCCAGCGGATAAGAGACTAACATCAAAATCAACTCCCACAATGAACGATAATTTATTTAGGGTTATAACCAGGACTTTATATACCTATGGCATTAAGGAAAAAAAGTTTGCAGTAGCCAAATAATCCAAATGACTGAGAAAAGCTCCTTTGTTCTTATAAACTGTAATCCTCATGCAAACAATCACTATCATCTCAGTGTGGAGTAAATCTTATTATTTGTAATCTCTTCTGCTCAAAAAGAATTTTCAACCCTGTAAACATAGCATAATACACTGCAATATAGCAATTTTGCAGGCTTTATAGAACATTCCTGATATTTTTGGACTGCCCAGATATTTTTTTGGCCCAAACATGGCAAAAGATCATGGAAACTGCAGTCCAGCAACGTGTGGAGAAACACATATTCTATAACCCATATTTTATAACAGTCTGGCTTCAGTTGGTATTTGTAAAAGGCTGGGAACAAAGATAAGGTTTGCACTTTGTATATATCTTTCAGGGAGACCTTGATTAAGCCAGGAGTTTCTCCTAATTATTTAATTATACCATATGTTACTCAAAGCTAAAAAAAAACTGATATGTATAGTGTACAGGATATAGATACACATTTAATATTCAAGGATGTCTGAATTAGATTTTGAAACCTCCGAACTTGTTTTCTTACTATTTCTGTGGTCAAATCAATGTAAGGACATTTCATTAATCAAGCAGAGGCAAGGCTGGGTTTACCATTGAGTGTGGAGTAGCCTTCCTCCAATGTAGTGACATCTTAGATGCTTTGAGCTACAACTCCCATTAGTATGGCCTGGGATGAATTTTGATCCAAAACATCTAGAAGATCTGGGGTTAGAAAGTGTAAATCAGTGGTTCCCAACCTTTTTTTCGACCAAGGACCACTTTTTCCAACATTAGTACCAAAAGGGTTACGAATTGGTTTTTGGTCAACTTTAGATTTGGTTTGGTTATTTGGGGTGCTGATTCAGAAAATTGTATCGGATAGACCACATCAGCTCTAGTTTCTGATACAGAACATATGCCATCCAATAGTCCCTAGCTGCTCACCTCCAGAAAAACATATTTAATAATCTAGAGATGATGTGGTAGTAGCAATATTTCGTGGAAAATCAACCTCTCCCCTCCCGAAATCCCTGGTGCCTCAGCACTATAAAGGATTTCGTGAAACCTGTCACTCTCGTTGCCACATGGTTTCAAGGCAACAGTGTAGTAATGGTGAAGCTGCAGACCATATTTTCATTCTTGCAAACCACAAGTTGGGAACCACTGGTGTAAATCATAGGAAACTCAGCCAGTCACCATTCTCCATGTATGCACAGGTTTGCTACTGACATCTGCAAACACATTTGTGATTCAGATTTCACCTTAAAAAGTGTGCATTATCTTTGTGTACTGAACAGTTATACAGCATGGCAAGTTTGCTGTATAGATTACAGGCCTGGAATACCGTCTAGGATCTAGACCTGATTCAGCTAATAACATTATTCATCTTTTCATTCTGTAAGAGCAATCTGACAATACCAATGATGATACGGATTGGATGTATACAAAGCTTTGGTAAGTGAACTGCTGTATAGCTTAAAACCGAGAAACCTGATGCATTCTTATCTGTCTCATATCAGAAATGGTCAGCAAAGGAAAATCTGTTTGTGCTGATCTGCAGGGTTATACCAGGCTTTACAGCACTTTTCTTAACATGGTAGCAAAGCACAGAAAGGCAACCATGGCTTGTACTTATGGCATAGCCTTTTCCATTGGAAGGTGTGTCAAACCTTTACTCACAAAGTCTCATTCTATCATAAGTGCCAAGAAAAAGGCTGGGAACACTCCAGTCATGCTTCAGCTAGCTTGCCTGTTCCTTTCATCTAATCAAACTGCTGGACTGGAAAAGGAGCAAAGCATAGGCATCAGCACCATCTGGTGGAGTTGGAAATACAAAACAATCTAAAACAAACCATAAACCTATAGGCAAACAAAAAGTAGTAACTGTGTTATCTGTATAATTGCAATGCCCTGAAGGTGTTAGATACATACACTCACATAATACAACAGACTACGTTCTAGTTCACATAGTTCATTGAGCAAACTGCATATACTTCCAATTTCCTTCTATCCCAAATGCAGATATGGGCAGATAACTTCACATAATTATACTTAGCTTCTGGAACAAAAAACCAAAAAAACTAGTCCAGACGTTTATGGCTTTTCCTATGCCATTTAACCCTTGTATCCTTCCACATGTCCAAAGAAGACAAATGAACAGGAGGTAGCGACGGAGAAGAGTGGGTATGTTCAACTTGAATGCAGACTTGTTATCCAACTTGACATTAATTCCTCTGTACATAATTTCTGATACCTTGCATAAAACTGGGAATATGGAGCACTTTATTAACGGCACCTATTACAGAGCTCAGGAGTCAGAAAACAAATAAGGAAAAGATACTGCCTTGTGAAAAGGGTTGCCCCACGTTTTGTCCTTTTATTCTTCCTACTGCCAGTTCCATATAAAAATGAGGAGTACAAAAGTTTATAGAGTTCTTCAAGATAAGATCAATGTCCGCGATGTGTGGTTCTGTTTCAGCACGCCCAAAACCTGCCGAGCTTTGTCTTGCATGATCAGCTGGTCTTTAGAACCACCACAAGCCACTGTTTTCCAAGCACTGGACATCTGAAGGAGGAAAAGAAGACAAATGAACACCATTAAATGCATATGATGATCAACACTTCTTAATGTGGGTTCCTTGGGTTATCTTGGGTAAGTCACAAGGAGGATCATCTGCAAATTATTAATAATTAATCCTCTTCCCCAAGGCTGCTGATTTTTCTGCGTATGATCTAAATTAATACTGGAATCGTCAGGTGGAGGTTTTGTCCATCTCAAAGCCTTCAATGGGCAAAACTGTGTACACTGCCTCAAAAAACCCTCAAACTGTGGTGAGAATTTGGAGAAACATCTTGTGTACTGGTGTATAAGCCCATTTGATGACCGAATCTTGGATGCTTTAATTTATGGACTTTATAACTGATTGTTTCAAATTCAAATCCCTGTTTCCTTGGTTTTGCCATGGACACTCACAAATAAACAATAATGATAGCCTCAGGGCAACCTCCTTGCCTCTATTTAAACACATAGGCAGACAAACTTAATCACAGCTGACTATATACAACTCTAAAGCACTTCTAAATTTAAAATGATACAGTTACAAAAACGGACTCAGCAACATCACATGCCACAGCAGCTAACTATTCCAGTGAGATCACAAGGTTGTATTTACAAGCTGTAGACACAAAATTGTTAAGTGTCGTGTTGGCAAACTAGTGGGAACTGAACCAACTGGAAGAAAATGGTTGACTAAACTCAAATCCTTACCAGGATGGGAACATAAATACCACAAGCCATTTACAAAACTCAAAGATTGCTCATATGGCAACCACCACTACAACATTAAGAGAGCTCAAAGGGACAATAAGTCTGGTGGGCAACCTGTAGCACTAGGGCAATACGTGGTTTTCAGTCAATGCCATGTAGACCTTGCCCTAATTTCAAAATCTCTCTATAATTGATCAGTTTCCAAACCTCTACAAAAGTGGTTCTCAGCCTGTGGGTTCCCAGATGTTTTAGCCTTCAACTCCCAGAAATTCTAACAGCTGGTAAACTGGCTGAGATTTCTGGGAGTTGTCAGCCAAAACATCTGGGGACTCACATACTGAGTACCACTGCTCTACAAGAATAATCTGTGCCTTCACTAGATGGGGAAAAATGAGAAAGAGACATAGGTAGGCATGTCTGTTTTTTGATTTGGGCATCTCCACGAAGCGTATCTTCATCCTGACAGATAATCCCGAAAGAAGCGTGGCCTTCAACTGAGAAATATTTAATCCACTCTTACTTTGCCTATCAAATCTCTAAAAGAAAGCAGGATTCACAAAAACCTTCCACAGCAGATGGTGCTTACCAATGCAGGTGGCCTGTACTTGCTAGGGATTCTCTTGGAAGATGGAGCCTTTTCTGCCTTGATGTGCACAAAGCCTCTGTTGAGCAAGCTTGTATTGCTCTTGCTGCTTGACACCGAAAGGTTGAGGGACTGAGAAAGGAAGTTCACAGACTGCAATCAAAGAGAAAATGAACAGTTACAGATGTTATGTGTAAATTAAATTATTTGATGTCCCTCCCGCCTTTACAGAGGCATACTGCTATAAAAAATATCTGCTTGACTCATATCTTTGGGCTAGGCAAAAAAGAGGTCCTCATTTGTAATGCTCCGTTTGCACAATTCTTAGAACACTAAGCCTTACAACCTTTTCAACGTGAAAATCATTTACTTCCCTTGGCTCAGAAAAAAGGTATTATTTCAAATGCTCAAGATTCCTTGCAACAATTTCAGGTCAAATAATTAATAGCCATAATAAGTTATATATTGTTAGACAAAATTCCAAGGCCTAAACCCAACTGCTAGTCCCAAAAAGAGTAGATTTATTGAATTCACTAGATGGAGAAGAATGAGAAAGAGCAGGTGGACTGTACTTTCCTACGTTCCAATTATTCAATGGGTCTACTGAAGCAGGAATTTATTAAATGTAGGGCTATAGAAATGCTGGCTGTCAAAATCCACACAGCAAACCCATGAATATGCTGAACCTCAACTAGAACTGTGTCTTGTATATGGGGCAGTAAAGACAGAGACATTCAACACATCATACACGAGGAGTGATGGGTTAGGGATGGTGTGATTCTGGACCACAACAGTTCAAACACCAAGTGATGTGTTGCCTAGAACCCCCTTTGTGAAGCTAACTACCCTATAGCCTCATATATGTGTCTAGAAATTTTAATTTAAAAAGGATTAATATATCCAAGATTCAAGTTGAGTATTACACTCTTATTTTGACCCCAAAATTGTCCATAACTTATGGATTAAGGTCTCCAGATATTGCTGTACTGCAACTCTTCTCATCCTTCACCATTCACTATACTATCTAGAGCTGATGGGACTAGCAGTCCAACAACATTCTCATGCCGGATAGAAATTTATGCATGTATGCTTGGAAGGAGGGCAACCTAAATGAACTCTCTGGGGCTTATTTATTCTAAGTAAACACGTACATGATCTCTCTACTCATATAACTTGTTCTAAGATGTATACTGTCCTAAAATGGATGCAAAGCATTGACTGCTAACGCTAACATGATCTAAACTTGTACCATAAATTCAGAATCACAATGATTATGTTGGCCATACAACTCTATCAAATGAACAAGTGAAATTATGCAAGAGATTGACAGGATTTGATATTTCCCTGGACCTTCTTACACACAAAAGGGCTTTGCAGCCTTAAGCAAGTACTGGCTTTGAAGCTCTGTGATGCACTCAAATTCAGGCTAAAATCCAGAGTGGATTCGCCCTGCCAGGTCTAGCAAGGCAGAAAGTGGGGTGAGGAGTAACCCGAAGAAGTCTTAAAACACCACTAAAAATAGCTCAATTCAATGTATTGGATATTCTAGCATCTAGTCAGGGAGATATTGTTTGTTTGTTTTTAAAGCAATGCACTATTCAACTTCATTATTCAGAGCTGACATATGGAAAAGTGTTGAATGTTTAGCTATTTTATTATATGTACACATACACATAAGTTTATCTTTTATGGTTATGATTTCTCTTATATATTTATTTGCTGCTGCTGGCCTTTTTCCTACCTGCAATCACCCAGTCAGAGAACTTCTAGAGGATTTTTACCATCTTTTCCCCCCAGAAGCAACATGAGGATCTCAGCTTCACAATACAGTTGCTAAAAGCAATGTGGGCCAAATAGAGCACCACTACAATTCCTTAGAAGCCAACTATTTTAAAGTATGGAGGAGAACAAGATCTGGCATTCCTATTCGTAACAGCTGAAAACTGCATCTTTAACAAGTCAGGTATTGATTATTACATCAAGAGTAATGAGGCATAAACACACAGCAATTTTTTAAAAGCCATATGGGATTGGTAGATTTTGATAGGTTTTGCTATACTTCCAAGATATTTCACAGTGACAGACGAATACTAACCAATCATTTCCATCAATATGCTTGAGGGCATACTCAGAAATGACAGCAATAAAGAAAACCTTAGCATTACATTCCTATAGCATTTCCTTACATCTTTCATCCTTATAGTAATTCCTTACACATCCGTCAGAGCTAAAGCACTTGAAGGAGGAAAAGAAATCTTTCAAAGCAACAGGAAACCATTTCAACAAAATTATTATTATAGCCCATCTTTGAATGGGCCTACGTTTTAAGGTGTAAATTATCCAGGAATTAAAAGGAGCGATTGACTTGCCAGTTTAAATCTATTTTAATATTTATAGGTTGTAGATTTTAAATTGTGTTTTTTAACATTGTGAATCGATGTTTTTGTTACCTCAATCAAGTGATAAAAGTGGAATAATAATAATAATAATAATACATAATAATAAGCTGGGCTGCAAGTTCCTGAAATTGTGAGGTTGTGGTGGGTCCAGAAATGGAACGTTTCCAGCTCAGGCTAAAAGGACGTATATTTGATGCAAGCATATTTACAGTGGAAGAAAGCATACACGTCTATGCTTTTACACAAGTGCTTTAGGCTGTGCAAGTCTCAGAGCCATGCAGACCCATAGCTATCTAGTTGGGCTCAAAGTTGCTCCCACATGTTTCCAGGAGTTCTCTTCGCCTTGCTGAAGGAGATTCAACTTGGGACCTCCCGCATGCAAAGCATGTGTTCTACAAATGAGCTACAAACCCTAGAACAGTAGCATGAGGCTACCCATGGACCAAACTAAACTAGAAAAGACATATGCAATACTTTTCTGTGCACCATTTTGCTGTCAGAAATCGATTCCCTTTGTCAAACTGTTTTCTTATCTGCATTGCAGAGGGGGCCTCAGAGTTTATGTCTTCTCTCCTGTACAAGGGAGGAAAAGTAAAAAAAAAAAAAAAAGCTGACCAGAAAAATAACTTAAGAGGTTCAGAGTGAAGCTCCTTCCATTGCTCTCAAATTTGCAGCTTCCTAAAGCCCATAGAAATCACATTTCGCCTGCATTCCATTCGGTTTAGCCAGTTCCAAACTATTACATACAACCATGAGACCCAGATACATCTTTTTGTTTTTATTTTTTCTAAAAAAACAAACAAACATACAAATCTAGGCTAGGTAATGTCATGTCACAAGATAGGTTCTGGGCCTTCACAGCAAGCAATGAAACCAACTTCTTTACTCTGAACTGCTTCAAAACAAAGTAGAACACATCTGTTAATGAGATGAATATATGCTGAGAAGGTATCTTATCCAGCTGAGCGAAAATGAATTCTTTATCCCGAGAACTTACCTGGCTCCCCTGAGTTCTTTTGATGCAAACGGGCTTGGCCATGGTGGAAACTGTCATCTTCAAGTCTTCCTCCATAATGTCTAATGCAAGCGATTTCCTGACTTTCTTAATGGGACTTCTGTGCAGCTGGAAAGATGAGGAATATTACAGAGTAATATTTAGGTTCCAAAAGGAAGTAAAATGAAAAAAGACAGACTCTAGAAATAAAAATGCATCTCTAAATTTTAAAAGACAACAAGCTACTGTTAAGACTAAACCACTTGGTCATGAATATGCCATGGAAAATCAAAATATTCAAACCACAGCTTGGAAAAAATGAACTACATTTACCAGTATCAATCATTTGCTTCACTAGTTAGGGGAATCTGAGTTGTACTACAAAACAAAAGGATTCATTTTCAAACTCTAGTTAAAATCAGAACAAAGTACCTCTGCTAGTACACAGGAATAATGAAGAGATCACAAGATTCAGCATTACACCTAGAGATAACGTCTAGCCAGGACACCTGGGCCAGAGGCCTGAAGCCAAAAAGAATGACTATAATTGGCCCTTTAATACCTAAGTTCAGGCAATTTTGCATTGCCCTCCTCTCTACAATCCTGACATTATAAAGCCCAAGGACATTACTCTCCCATCCCTGCCACTGAATTTTGCACTTTCCCTTAGCTCAGTGGTTCTCAACCTGTGAGTCCTCAGATGTTTTGGCCTTCAACTCCCAGAAATCCTAACAGTTGGTAAACTGGCTGAGATTTCTGGGAATTGTAGACCAACACCTGGGGACCCACAGGTTGGGAACCATTGTCTTAGCTCTAACTAGGAATTTTGCACAAACTCAGAGCCCTTTGAACTCAGCACTTTTATTGCTCCCATGGTATTGTTTTGATGTTTCCAAGAATCCCCCAGTCAGTAACCATGTTGATGATGAAATTCTAGGAAGTGTCCAAATTGTTAAGTTTTCTAAACTATGGATAATCCTTATAAGTAATGTGCAGTTGCAGGAAACAGCTGACCCAATAACCCTGCTCACTACCTCCAAGTCCCCAAAATATGTCCTACAACAGCTGGTAGGCATGTGAAACCTACTTTACTTGCTTGCTTAAAGAAAAAAATACATCAAGGAGCAAAAAAACTGGCTTGAGGCAGAGCAGAACCACGTGCAATTTGGTGGTTGTGTGAACACAGCCAACTTCCCACAGCATGCAATGAACTTTCAAAAGGTCCTACATTTATAAACACAAATCTCTTTTCGATACATTGTAAGAAAGATGTCTTTGACCACTGCTGTTACACAGCATGGTAAACCATGCTGAGATCTATTGGACATGAATCTGCCAACAGATTTGCTTTGCTTGGCCAAGATCACTTTGCAGTATTCACTACCAACAGAGGAGAGTAACTTGCTACCTCCACCTAATTCTATGCTGCTCTCAAGATTAGTTTCAAATATTGCCACAAGCCCCATTCAACACCTCTAGTAGAAGACTTGTTCCTCCTTGGATAACGCTCTAGAAAGGAAGAAAGAGGGTGAAAAGATATGGATGGTGCTGCAGAAGGGAGAGATAAGAGAAATGGCTGTGCACTGCTCTTAATGCAATACAAAAGAAGTTGCTAATCATTTGTATCAAGGATGCGCAAAGTGTTGCCCTGAGGGTAGCTGATGATTTTGTGGCTCTCAGGTAGGTTTTTTTTTTGGCAAATGAAAGGTCTCCTTGGGAAACCTCCAGGATAAACAATGGACCTTTCAAACAAGTCATCTGGCGGCAAAAAAAGCTAAAGGGATTTTGGCCTGCATAAATAGGAACATAGTGTCTAGATCCAGGGAAGTCATGCTACCCCTCTATTCTGCCTTGGTCAGACCACATCTGGAATACTGTGTCCAATTCTGGGCACCACAATTGAAGGGAGATGTTGACAAGCTGGAATGTGTCCAGAGGAGGGCAACTAAAATGATCAAGGGTCTGGAGAACAAGCCCTATGAGGAGCGGCTTAAAGAGCTGGGCATGTTTAGCCTGAAGAAGAGAAGGCTGAGAGGAGGCATGATGGCCATGTATAAATATGTGAGGGGAAGTCATAGGGAGGAGGGAGCAAGCTTGTTTTCTGCTGCCCTGGAGACTAGGATGCAAAGCAATGGCTTCAAATGTCAGGAAAGGAGATTCCACCTGAACATGAGGAAGAACTTCCAACTGTGAGAGCCGTTCAGCAGTGGAACTCTCTGCCTTGGAGTGTGGTGGAGACTCCTTCTTTGGAGGCTTTTAAACAGAGGCTGGATGGCCATCTGTCAGGGGTGCTTTGAATGCAATTTTCCTGCTTCTTGGCAAGGGGTTGGACTGGATGGCCCATGAGGTCTCTTCCAACTCTATGATTCTAAGTGCAAGGTTTGCGCTGTAATATGCTACATAAATGCTAAGAAAACACTGGCAGGGGGTTGGACTGGATGGCCCACAAGGTCTCTTCCAACTCTATGATTCTATGATTCCAGGTAGTCCTGCTCTGTTTAACTGCTCAAACAATTCATTTTTCAAGAAAAGTGAACTTCTAAGTCACTTTTTTAAATTGCTGGCAATCTTTGGCTACAGAAAAATTTCAGGGGCAGAAAAAATGCTTTCACATCAGCCAGTTACTCATCCCTGTTCTATATGCTGAGCTTGCCCCAAAAACATGTTGACATGGGAAGAGCTTACTGAATGCATGGTGTATGAAAAACTACGTAACTGGAGCATCATGTTCCATCTCTAAAATGAAGTTTACACTGAAAGCCATTTGTTTGATAGAAAATGTGTTTGTGCTATGGTTTTTTTGCTTTTTAAAAGCCATAAAAAAGAAGAAAAAAGAGAGGAAGAAATCTAGCAACACCTTTTCAGAGTGATTTATATTTTAAAAGGATCTTTGATGCATATCTGTTCACTTTTTCAGATGCATTGGTAAGAATGATTTAAACTCACAGGTTTTAAAGCATAGTTACACAAATATACGAATGAGCTATAATGTAACAGCATACAGAAAGAGGCAAATTATGACCCTGACCATAAATCTCCAGAGCGCTGTATGATGCCAGTTTTTGTTTTTAAAAGGGAAGAATACTCTAAATACCTCAATTTTTTGCAGCAAATTAATGATCTTCCATCCAGGAATAGCCTGACTTGATATTGCTAATTTGCTAATTCAACAATACCAAGGGTGATTTAAGAGGAAGAGCAAACAATGAGAATGCTAAGAGATACTTACACCCTGTTTTCTCTTCTGCTTCTCTGGATTCACATCCTCTTCAATTATCAGTTCAATGCCAGTTTCACTCCTCAATACTTCTTTTAAATCTTCTTCCAGATTAGGGGTTTGTGGCTGCAGAATGATTTATATCTTTGAAGTCATGGTTCAGGTATTGAAAACATCAGCATATTCTGAAGGGTGTCTTTCATTCATTTCTAAAAAGGTGTTTTATGTACACATAAAACATGCTCAAGTTTTTGGGTGTTTGTATTGAATTATGATAAAATAAATAAAAAGATAAAAAGAAGGGGCTTTTTGGGTAGAAAATAAGGACTATAGCACATCTCCTATTTGCAGCTGTCAAAATGAATCCTTTCTGCAAGCAATGAAATCAAATGTTTGTCTCTCCCCGAAGTATGTTATAGAGCAACTTAAGGACATTTCTGTTGAACGTTGGCCTTTTGCTTGAGCTTGTGATCTTCCTTAGGAGTCCTAAGCATTCACAGCATGGGAAGAGTAATGGAATAGGAAAAGGATCCATAAAACGGCTTAATACATACCAAGGGCTTCATGGGACCGTACTTCTCTAAGGCATTCTTGAAAGGTGTGGGTGTGTGAGGTGTGTTGTCTGTTATGTATTTCTGATCAGGGGTCACAAACCTGAAAGCACAGAAAAAGAGAACAACAGTTTTAAATCATGATTCCAATACAGGGTTTGGGTGGACACTTGAAAAAGATTATCCAGTTTTGCAGAAGTAACAGCATACAAGTATAGCCTATGATATGGTTTGCGAATACGCAAACACTGACCGGTATGTTATTTTATTGTACCTTTTATCAAGCAACTAGATAACCATTGATTGAGGTAATTCTGATCAGGTGTTACTCTCAATACATAAGGAAGGGTAAAAATTAAAAACAAACAATGTTGCAATGTGTTTTTTTATGTTATTTTGCAAATTAGACAAAATTAGACTGCCAGTTGTACAAGTTCTCTGTTCTTTCACATAGTTTCTTTTTGCAAATGTCATCTGGTCAGAGAACTAAATGACGGGTGGGGAACATGGGACCTTCCAACTATCATTGGACTGCAAGTGCCAGAAGCCCTAACCAGTATAGTCAATGGTAATGAATGCTGGGATGTACAGTCCAACAACACATGGAGGGGAACGTAATTTTCAGTCCTGATGTACAACCTCATTCAAAGAAATATAAAAGTATCTGTTTCAGTAACTCTTACCATATATACTCATGTTAAGTCTAGTAATATTAGTAAAAAAAAAAAACCTCAAAAAATGGGTCAACTAATCAACAGGTAATATACGGTGTGTGTATTTTGTATGTGTTGGCATTGACTTTTTGCCATTGTAAGCCTCCCTGAGTCCTCCTTCTGGGGTTGAGAAGAAGGGGTTCCAATGTTGGAAATAAATAAATAAATAAATGTAAATACTCTTCCTTAGCTATTATCAAACAAAAATCATCGCCTTATCTGAGTAATCAAAGCCCTTTTTGAATGCATGAGCAGGGAAAAGCGTAAAGGCTGCGGGCAGTTGGTTGACCGTAAGCCAGTGTTGGCACTTTCCTCCCTCCACATAATGACTCTCAACCTATCCATGGGTCATATTTATAGCCAGAATTTTGGCCCCAAATCCTGCCCTCAACTTACACATGTGTACTTGAGGTAAGTGCAAGAGAAGGCTTTAGTTGTGCCATAATGATACTGCAATTCTTAAAGTGAATCGGAAGGTATGAGCTCTCAAAGCCAGCATATTGTATCTTATTCTGCCTTGCAGAAATTTTTGTTGGGCTCACACCAGTCTCTCATCTACATCACCTTAAATTAAGCAGTATTCAGTCTTAGAATTTGGGTATCTCAAACTAACTGCTAGTCTTAGCCATATCACTGGAAAGAGCTGACCCTCCTCCTTGCAAGATATCTGCGAGTATGAGAAATAAGCAGAAGGGAAGACTTACGCAGAGTTTTTCTGGATTAACGGTGTTTTGTCTCTGTGTAATGGGGTAGTCACTATCACCTTTTGGCTGCACACAGGTGTGGAAGTTAATGAAGGGTTCTCAAGATCCAGTGTGTCCTGTTTGGTCCAGAAATTCAGGAACTGCCAAATTTTTAACAAGGAAATAAATTGGTCACCATAGAAAACGTGGCAGAGAGCTCACAATGATGTTTGGCAAACATGGTTGAATACAGAAATTCTAATGTTTACAAAGTTGGGTTTGTCTGTGTACAGCCCCTAGAGTCTTCCAGCCAGCATAGCCCTGGATGAAACATTTTGGAGATTGCAACTCAAAAAGTAAATGTTTAGGCACAAGATGCAAACACAAGAAAAATATTTATCTTTTCCATATGATACAACACAGAAAAAACAGTATTAACACCACTCGGTCATTTAATAAGAGAAGCACTTTAGGTTGGCTTGTCTGCAATGCTGAGTGACTTCTAGGGCATCACATCCCTCTGTATTATTCCCAGGACTTGTCTTTCTTGTGTAACAGAAGAAATATTAAAAATTAACTCAATATTTTTAATTACAAAAATGTGAGTCAAACACAGAAAGGGTTAAATGGATGCAATGATTCAGCAAAAGCTCTAGTTCAAAATAAGTAAGTGTGCCTGTAGGTTGGTTCGCCTCAGTGTTAGTTGCCCTTGGTAAGAAAAGGCTTCAGTATGAGAGAGTCCTCAGTGTGAGATAGGCCTGCTTGAGAAGGCCTGGTGTGAGAAGCTTCTGTGAGAGTGAAGCTGTTTATCTGCATGAGAAAGAAGCCCAGCGTAGAAGCAAAGAAGGAAGTATAAAGAACTTTATTTGTGTTATGAAAACCTTGTTCTTGTAATAGGGCAAAGCTATTATTTTACTACAAAGAAAAGCTGCCTATGGAAGAGATAACATTGGTCTATTTTTGTTCTTTTTGTCACTTTGGGCTACTGGTGCTGGGTTACGCTGCTGCTGATAAGTTACTCTGCTGTACATTTATGAAGAGGGTCTTTTGTTAATAAGCCCATTCGTCCCAACAAGCTTGCCTTCCTTGTGCAACAGAAGAAATATAGAATGTCCATAAAAATGCCATGCATGGAGGCAGCCCATGGTTCAGTCTCCAGGTAAGAAACTCTGAAAACTCTGAAACTCTGAAAAGCTACTGGTAGTTGAGCCAGATAATGTTGAGCTAGATAGATTTATGCCGCATATGATGCAGCAGGTTGCTTAAGTGCAGCCACGGTTTTAGTACTTTGTAAATAAAAATAACACCACACTTTCAAGAGACACCAAGTTATTCCCTAAACAAACGTTAGAAAGAATAAAGGCCGCAAGAAAGATAACTAATATCCGAAATATAACAATGTTAGTTTTTATATCAGATCTGTCTAGGAGTCATTACCAAATCTTCTAAACTACTGCCACAATGCCAGGAAGGCGCCAATATATCATCTAAAAACACAATTTTACAGTAGCAAACATGCAGTAGCAATCCAGCACCTTTTAAATGGTCCAAAAGCACTTTGATCATTTTCTATCCTTGAGTTATAGTTTGCGCCAAAGCTTAAAAATGCTATCATTGCTCACACTGACCTAGGTATGCGTGCAAAAAGTATGAAGCCAAGCAACATGGCTGAGAGATGGAAAGAGAATGTTCTAGTCATGCTAATCTGCTAAGCCATTGATAACAACAGTATTTTCTCATAGGTCAGTGAGCATTTCATGTGGGAATGTTCTTCCTTCGAAATAAGCAGACATGAAGTAAATGAAAAATAAGCAAAACAAAATCAAAGAACTGAAATCTTTTTCAGAGTTGCTGAATATGAAGACCCAGGACAGTCTCCCATGTTACATTCAAGAACACAGAAGAGTTACACYTGGCTCTTAATCATATAAACYTGTAATGCAAGAAGGGTTTYCACWTCTGTTCCTTGATATATATGACTTGTCTGGTCTAACCCAATTCTTTTTAAATGCAGCCATATCCAACTGTTTTCTGCATTATATGGTTAGACAAAGAAGGAACAGAAGAGCAGCTTCTATAATTTTAAATTATATCACTAGAACACAAACTCTTAAGAATAGGCTAGCAGACATGTCAACCTCTAGAACAGTGTTTCTTGATTTGGGAATTGGGACCCGGGTGGGGGGGGGGGAGTCGCAAGGGGTTGTCAGAGGAGTCTATGATATGATAAAATAAATAAAAATATTAAAAAGAAGTTTTTTTGGGGGTACTAAAGGTAGAAAATAAGGAGTGACTATAGCACAGTGTTACTCAACCTGGGGGTCGGGACCCCTGGGGGGGGTTGCGAGGGAGTGTCAGAGAGGTCGCCAAAGACCATTAGAAACCACAGTATTTTCTGTTGGTCATGGGGGTTCTGTGTGGGAAGTCTGGCCCYATTATATCATTGGTGGAGTTCAGAATGCTCTTTGATTCTAGGTGAACTATAAATCCCAGCAACTACAACTCCCAAATGTCAAGGTCTATTTTCTTCAAACTCCACTAGTGTTCTCATTTGTTGCGGGGCCCAAGCYGTGCAAGAGGCCCAGGCAGCGATGAGGTGCCTCCTCCGCCACTTCTGGAGCAGCAGCAGCCACGGCACCCGGGCCYGGTCTGTTGGCAGGAAGGGAGGCGCCGAGGAGGAGGAGGAAGGTAAAGAGGACAAGGAGGGAAGAGCCGCCGTCCCCGGAGGGAAGAAGAGCCAAGGAYGGGTCCAGGCGGCGATGAGGTGCCTCTCTCTTTCTCTCTCTCTCTCTCWCCCACACACACTGGCAGGACCTTTTCTGATCAGTGTCCCTCACTACTTGTTTTAAATATTTTAAATTCATTTTTTTWAATAAAAAAAKKKCACAAAACAGCGAGTCCGCAAAAGGTGAACCATGAAGTAGGAAGGGAACACTGAATTGAGTATTTGTGCCAGATTTGGTCCAGATCCATCATTATTTCAGTCCGCAATGCTCTCTGGATGTAGGTGAACTACAACTCCAAAATTCAAGGTCAATGCCCACCAAACCCTTCCAGAATTTTAAGGTCCTGAGAGTTTTTTGTGCCAAGTTTGATTCAATTTCATCATTGGTGGAGTTCAGAATGCTCTTTGATTGTAAGTTAAGTATAAATCCCAGCAACTACAACTCCCAAATGACAAAAATCAATCCCTCCTCCAAACCCCACCAATATTCAAATTCGGGTGTATCGGGTATTTATGCCAAATTTGGTCCAGGGAATGAAAATACATCCTGCATATCAGATATTAAAATTACGATTCGTAACAGTAGCAAAATTAGTTATGAAATAGCAACTAAAATAATTTTATGTTTGGGAGTCACCACAACTGTATTAAGGAGTCACAACATTAGGAAGGTTGAGAACTACTGCTCTAGAAGCTGGTGAATTTCAAACTCATAAATTTTAGTCAATCTGGCCAATGGTAAGGAATAATGAGAGCAGCAGTCCATCAAAATCTGGAGCATCACAGGTTCCTTAACCTGCTTATAACACAAGCAGTGGGGAAAAGCATTCCTTGCCTTCTGCAAATCAAGGTAGATATTTCTAATATAAAACCAAGATAATGGCATAAGACAGGAATGTTGTGAACAGATGAAGCTACTGCCTCATTCTTGGGCACTACCCCTTACTTGCTCCATGCCTACATACCTGAGACGGGGAAAATGGCAATGTCTTGACAGGGGTGCTTTTGACAGGAGTGCTCTTAGGTGTCATGCTATTATAGGAGTCCAAGAAGGAGAGGCTGGTACTGGTACCCCCTTCTGAAACTGGCGTGAGACTGATCTTCCTCTTCTTTTGCCGCTTAAGTACAGAAGGCGGAGTGCCAAAGCTCATGTCTGTGCGTGGGGAGATGGGGATGAGCTCGCCCTTGCTGCCTTTGCTCAGATCTGAAATGGTATGGCCATCCAAACGGTACTCTGTCACGTTCTGCGCTGAGGAATAGGGTTTGATTGATGTCTGTCTCTCTGGGCTGTTACTGTTACTGGCAGAGAGATCATCAGGAAGGTCAAACTGAGACAGATCACACCAACCATCAGGGTCCTGCCAGAAAAGGAACATTGTGAAAATCAGGACGAGTAAAACTGAAGATGAAGAATAAGTGTCAGAGTATCTTAATACTACTATAGTTGAATTATTGTACCTAACTCTTCAGTTTTTTGAGGCCTTTCACGTGTCTCAGTCTACCTCACCTTGGCACCTTTTATTTGTTTTGGACTACAATTCCCATCAACCAAATTGGCTGGGGATGATGTGAGTTGTATACAAGCACAATGGATGGAATGAGGAAACACACACGGCTAGAGAAACCTAAAATATTAATTTTGTCAGTTACTAATCAGTTGTTTAATGTTTTTAGAATGATGTAAATAAAATGTTTCATGTTTATTGTCTTACATTTTAAATAATTCAACCAAATTTTAATGTTAACCACCCAGAAACAGAATGATATAGGGCAGGATATAAATATTTTAAATAACAATGGTATTGCTGCTGTATTTTTAAATTAGTTTCAGACGCTTGAAAACTAAAAGACATTCATTCAGTAATGTGAGTGTTTGGAGGAGGGCAATTCCTAGGATTAGTACAAATCCTTCAAAGAAGCATAAAATAGCTGGCAAGGATAAGTACAGCCTGAAGCAATTTCCCAAGAGTGTGAATGAGTTAGACAAGAGAGAAGACAAGGACTTCCAAGAACAGCGTGACTTGAAGCAATCTGAATGTAGATATGTTCCCCACAAAAACGTTATTGTGCATCTCTAAAACTGTCTTTAAAATCAATGATCGTGCTTGTTGGCGTCCTGTGTTTTTGTACCATGTTTTAGTACCAACGGCAGCTAAAAAAGCTAATGGGATTTTAGCCTGCATAAATAGGAGTACAGTGTCTAGATCCAGGAACTCATGCTACCTTTCTATTCTGCCTTAGTCAGACCATACCAGGAATACTGTGTCCAATTCTGGGCACCGCAATTGAAGGGAGATGTTGACAACCTGGAATGTGTCCAGAGGAGGGCGACTAAAATGATCAAGGGTCTGGAGAACAAGTCTGGAGCAGCTTAAAGATTTGGGCATGTTTAGCCTGCAGAAGAGAAAGCTGAGAGGAGACATGATGCTCATGTATAAATATGTGAGGGGAAGCCATAGGAAGGTGGGAGCAAGCTTGTTTTCTGTCCTGGAGAAGAACTTCCTGACTGTGAGTGGAACTTTCTGCCCTGGAGTGTGGTGGAGGCTCCTTCTTTGGAGGCTTTTAAACAGAGGGCCATCTGTTGGGGTTGCTTTTAATGCGATTTTCCTGCTTCCTGGCAGGGGGTTGGACTGGATGGCCCACAAGGTCTCTTCCAATGCAATGATTCTATGATTAATAGCTTTTTAGTTGTGTAATGTTTTGGTATTTGCTGGTGTTTGGTTCCAGGACCCCAGTGGATATCAATATCTGCAAATGCGTAATGATACACAATGATGTAGTTAAATGGTGCTCATTATAAAATTGCAAAGTCAAAGGAAGTTTTTTAAAAAAATATTTTCAAACCATCCATGGATACCATAGGCAAACTATACTGTGTTTTTCAAATGGTTGTAAGCCCCTTTGAATCCTGTACTGGGAGATGAGAAGGACATAAAAGAAATATACATTCTATTCATATGGGTTACAAGCAGAGCTGTTAGGTCAAAAAGTCTCCAGCTTAGGAATAGTAGCCAGATTTTTAACAAGTTATTACTTGAACAGATTAGTTAGTGGCCATTTTTGAGAATCATTAAAAACAAAAACAAATCCCTTTTCCCAGATCTGTTATCTTCCCATTATTGATTGCATTAGGGAAAATAGACAATTCCACTTCTTACAGATTCAATCATGTCGAGAGCTTCTGTAATGGCTGGGGCTGCTGCAGTGCACAAATAACTGCCCGATTCCACCACCCATGCATATGAAGAGGAACCTTCTTCCAGTGCGTCATCAGCCACTGTGGTTTCTGGTATACTTTTGGTGTTGTCCTCCGCTAGGCTTTCAGGGAGTTGCTCTGAAGGCAGCATTTGCAAGCCAACTGGCTCATCCTCAGTGGCTTCCTCCTCTTTGATTTCCAAACTTTGAACAGGCCAGCTGGTAACAAAGTTTTGCTGTAGAAAGTAAATGAAAAATTTATCATTACTCCCACATACTATGGAATGGGAACCACACAGCTCTGCACGTTGACTGTTGCAGTTGTTTCACTCCAACAGTCAAAGTCTGCTGGAGGTTACAGCTAAGATCTAAAGGAGCATTTGATCCCTGCCCCTGCCAGTCTAGATTCACTAGTTGAAGGCCAAAACTATTTGACAAATCTTAATCAAGGCAGGTAGATGCCACATTTCTTTCTGAGTGAAGGAAGATAGATCCTTTTGAACTGTGGTTTTGGAGGAAAATTCTTGGACTGCAAGAAGATCAAACCAGTCCATACTTCAGGAAATAATGCCCAGATGTTTACTGGAGGGAAGGATATTAGAGGCAAAGATGAAGTACTTTGACCACATAATGAGAAGACAGGAAAGCTTAGAGAAGGCAATTATGCTGGGGGGAAATGGAAGAAAAAAGCAAGAGGGGCCGACCAAGGGCAAGATGGATGGATGTTATCCTTGAAGTGACTGGCTTGTCCTTGAAGGAGCTGGGAGTGGCGACAGCGGAAAGGGAGTTCTGGTGTGTGATGGTCCATGTGGTCATGAACAGTCAGAGGCAACTGAACGAATAAACAACAACATATATTTCAAATTTAATAATTTGCTTTCTTTACTTTAAAAAATCTCCCCTGAGTCATACCTGATTTTCAGTTTCTTGTACGTTTTGGCTTTCCTTGTCTTCCACTTCAACTAGTAGATAGAGGGGGTTGGATTCTTTTGTTTCGTTCAGAAAGTTTGCTGTGTCCACTTTTCGTTTGATTGTGGAATTCCAGTGGTTCTTCACAGCATTGTCAGTCCTATAATAACAACAACAATAATGGAAAATAAATGCATATATTAAAGCCAAGGAAAACGGCATAAGTAGTATAGCATCTTCTCATTCATCATTCATAGACTACAAAGCCTACCTGCCCGGCAGCAATTTAGCAATCTCAGCCCATCGATTCCCCAGAACTTTGTGAGCCTCGCAAATTATACGGTCTTCCTCTTCTGTCCAGGATGACTTTTTCACTTCAGGGTTCAGGTGGTTGTGCCAGCGTTCACGACACTGTTTTCCTAGCCGGCCTTTCAAATGCTTGGCTATAAGTGTCCATTGCTTTGTGCCATATTTTTTCACCAGTTCAATAACCTGGTAATTAATTAAAAAAACAAAAATGATTATATGACATATTCATGACTGTACTTTGGGTTTTGGCATTTCAACACTCAGCAGATACAAAGACATCTAAAAATAAACCTCACATCCTCTGAGGATGCCTGCCATAGATGTGGGTGAAATGTCAGGAGAGAAAGTTTCTGGAACATGGCCATACAGCCCAGCAAACTCACAGCAACCTAGGGATTCCAGCCATGAAAGCCTTCAACAACTCATCTAAAAATAATATCACTAAGAATAAGTCCCATTTTGCTTAACTGATGGCAATCAGGAATATACATTTGGATCCTCCATTGCTTCCACGTTTTTCTCAGCACTCATGCCAGTACACTACATCTTTATGAATCTACATACTTTGCAGTAGTTATTTTCCATAGACATAGCAAGGATTCTATTCATGGTAACCTTCAGGATGGCTTTTGGAAGGGAAGGGTTTGCCATGTGGAGCGCAAAATCACAACAAACATGCAATTGCTACAATTTCTCAAACTAACCCAGATGGAACATATAGAGGCCATCACAACAGATGTTTAATTCTATATTAGTTCTAGCTTATTAATACTTTTCCTAATATGATGTCTCTCTAGCTCTCTTCAGACAGTGTAATAGTTGCAAGAGAACTAATCTCTTATGATAGGGTTTGCTTCCAATGTATACACCCAAATCTATCAATGTACCACTAAATTGTGAAGGTTTCTCTGTTAGAATGAAGACCCTTGAGAAATCAGAGTTCCTAGTTAGATGGAATGAGCACAACTAGGTAAACATATGCATTCAGACATATCAAATTTACAAAACAATAATCCAATCTCTAATCTTAAGCACTGAAGTTCAAGCCCAGAAGAATAAGATCCTAACAGCACAAGCTAATGCAGATTTACTCAGAAAGTAATGTGAATGAAACATACTCTCAAGTATTTATATACAGTATTATTTATTTAAAGTATTTATATTCTGCCTTTCTCACCCAAAGGGGACTCAGGGCAGAGCACAACATATAAACGGCAAACATTCAATGCCGAAACATACTAGACCATARACATAAAGAAGCATTAAAATCACTTATCCTGACGTRAAAATCCTCTAGTTAWAACTGTCTCAACAACCATATCAAATTTGGTTGGCATACTAAGAGTTCCTATCGCTGCCTCATTACACAGTCCCAAAGGCTCAGTCCCACAGCCACGTTTTTATCATCCTTCTAAAGGARAAYAGGGAGGYGGCTGACCTGATCTCATTAGGAAGGGAGTTCCATAGCTGAGGGGCAATCACTGAAAAGGCCCTGTCTCTCYTCCCCACCAAYCGCGCCTACGATGGTGGRGGGACCGAGAGCAGGGCCTCCCCAGATCTTAATCTCCGGGGTGGCTCATAGGGGAAGATGCGTTCYGACAGGTAAATTGGGCAAATATAGGAACAAGCCTAAAAATAGCTGCAGTAGTCGGAAAGAACAAATAGTCAAGAGGGGTTTTTTTTTTTCAAGGGGAAAAGTGGTTTCCTCATGATTTTCAAGGGGAACAGTTAGGAAGCAAGTCAATACTGATTCAAGGTTTCTTAACTATTACCTTAGATAAAGAAATTTGCATTTTATAAACAAAGAGAAGCAGCAGGCAGAAATTCCACTCAGAATGTAATGAGATTCTACTTTCAAAAAGAAAATCTCCCAAAATAGAAAAGATTCAAGTTGCTTCCACTATAAATATCAACTGTAAGAAGTTACCTTCTGATCTTCCTGCTTCGTCCAAGGGCCTTTTACCAGGACAGGATTTAGCACCCTGAGCCAGCGGTATTGACACTGCTGTTCAGTACGGTTCTGCAGGCAAATTCAAATAGGTACACATTAAATACTGCTAGGGTTCAAAGGCAGCAAGACAGAAAAGCAACTCACTCATGTCTAACTCACATGAGTCTCTGCTTACAAATAATCCCAAAGAAAACCTTTCACTCTGCTGAAAAACTCAACTTACAGGAAAGTGATTGGCAAGAAACTTCCAGTCATGTCCAAACTGATTCACCAGGGAGTTCAATAGCTCATCCTGCAAAGAGAAATACTGTCAGGCCACATAAAGAACACACATTGCAACCTGCTGTTTGGAAATGGTTTCCTTCATATCTTCATAAATATTTCAGGAATAAGTTTCAGTAAGATTAGGTGTTTGTGGCCCTTTAACATCATAGTATATGAATCGAGGAACTTTTAGACCTGCAGATGTTTTGAAGTGCCATTCTCACAATTCCTTGCCATTTGCTATATTGAGTGGAAGTTCTTGGGAATCAAACACCAAAATATTTGAAAATACTGTATGACAGCAATATTTGGGGAATCAGTACCAACTGTTTCACTTAACCACAGCCAAAAAAATATCTGACATTTTCTACGTCTTCCGATATAATGGAAGGGATGTGTTCTCTCGTTGGATTTTCTAGGTCATCCAGTGGAATTCTACATTGTGCTTTGGCCAGAAATTGATCATAGAGTTGCAATGGAGGACCCACAAATGCTAGAGTACTGTTCTCTTTTGGCAGTTTCTAGGCCATCCAGTACAATTCTATGGTATGCTTCCGTCAGAGGTGGTTCATTTCAATAGAGTTAACTATTATCCACAAGTTTTTGTTTCCACTGTAAGTCTGGAAATGTATTTCCTGCAGATATGAGGGCCATACTGTGTAAGCACCCAAACTCTGGGCTATAGTAAATGAAAAACAAACAAAGCCATCACCCCACCACAATCGCCACACTTAAATCAGTTTGACACCACTTTAATTGCCTTGGTTCAATGGTATGAAATCATGGGAATTGTAGTTTTACAAGGTCTTTAGCCTTCTCTGCCGAAAACCACTGGTCCTTACTAAACTACAACTCCCAGAATTCCATAGTATTGAGCCACAGCAGTAAAAGTGAAATCAAAGTGCAATAATCCTACAATGTAGATGCACTCTTAAGTCTACAAAAGTCTTATGCTACCAGCTTCATTATTTCAGTTATTCGCTAAGGTGCTGCAAGATCCCGTTGTATAACGATGTTCCAGACCATTGATTGATAATACATATCCTACCTTGCTTTAATTCAGTGGTTTCTCATCCTGCGGGTCCCCAGATGTTTTGGCCTTCAACTCCCAGAAATCCGAATAGCTAGTAAATGGGATGGGATTTCAGGAAGTTGCAGGCCAAAATACCTGGGGACCCACAGGCTGAGAACCACTGTTCTAGACCAATATGGCAGCATCTTTGAATAGCTGGACAAGGGAGTTATCCATAGAATTCCTATTTTATTTATTGAAATTTGACAATGCCCTTCCAGCCAGACGTAAAACACTGGCTGCAATTGCTAAGGCCCCTTCTACGCGGTTACATATCCCAGGATCTGATCCCAGGTTATCTGATTTAAACTGGATTATATGAGATTCCACTGCCAGAGAATCTGGGATAAGAAGATAATCTGGGATCAGATCCTGGGACATAGGAGCAGTGTGGAAGGGGCCCAAGGCAGATGAGACTTCTGAAGGACCAAAAATGTCCCAGTTTTTCAAGTCAGGACTTCTCATAATAGCTCTTGATTAATGTCACCGGAGTGTTTCCCATCCCATTCCACACCTTAACCCCCAAAATCCCCACAGGACAATACCTCTTCACGTGACCATTTGACTTTGCACCTGTTGTCCCGCCGTTCCTGAGCATCTGAGTCCTGACTGTGCAATTCATCATGCTCTTCACTAGGTTTAAAGAAAGAGACACTTTGTTATCACAATATTGAATTATTGACCAGCAGTGCTGCAGAATTTGAGGAGGCACGAGTGGAGGGTGAAAGAGAGAAACTTGCCAGGAGGAAGGCGCGTCAAGCCAACCCCGACCGGGACCGCCTTCCACCTGGAAACCAATGCCCTCACTGCGGAAGAAGATGCAGAGCAAGAATAGGGCTCCACAGCCACATACGGACCACAAGGAAATCCATAATGGAAGACCATCTTACTCGTCCAACGAGGGATCGCCTAAGTAAGTAAGTAAACTAAAGTAATTGAATTATCCTTTTCATCAGTTGAGAATTTAAGCTTTTCTCATTCAGCAAAAGGTTTAGTTGACCTCCAGCTAGAGTGTTTCAGGCAGACTAGAGTTCTTTCTCCCACCTGGACATTCCACAGATAGATAAGCGTCACTTGCCTAGTTTCCAACAGACCTCACAACTCTGAGGATGCCTGCCATAGATGTGGGTGAAATGTCAGGAGAGAATGCTTCTGGAACATGCCATACAGCCTGGAAAACTCACAGCAACTCACCTATTAAAACATTGCTAGTTGCATCCATCCAAAGGGAGAAACGTGCCAAGAGAAAGGCGCGTCAAGCCAACCCTGACCTGGACCACCTTCCACCTGGAAACTGATGTCCTCACTGTGAGAAAACATGCAGATCAAGGGCTCCACAGCCACCTACGAACCCACTGCCAAGACACCAGACTTGGAGGACCATCATCCTTGGGCTATGAGGGATCGCCTAAGTAAGTAAGTAAGTAAGTATGTAAGTAATGTCCAGGATAGGAGAAAGAACTCTTGTCTGTTGGAGGCAAGTGTGAATGTTGCAATTGGCCACCTTGATTAGCATCGAATGGCCTTGCAGCTTCAAAGCCTGGCTGTGGAAGGTGCATGGGGGAATCCTTTGTTGGGAGGTGTTATCTAGTCCTGATTGTTTCATGTCAGGAATTCCCCTGTTTCTTGCGATCCTCTTTATTTACTGTCCTGATTTAGAGTTTTTAAAAGAATGGTAGCCATAATTTGTTCATTTTCATAGTTTCCTCTGTTCTGTTGCAATTGTCCACATGCTCGTAGATTCTTTTAATTGCTTTCTTTTAATAGCTTTCTCTCATGACCTCCAAAAATCTGAAGTTTATATTTGTTACAAGACATAGGGTGTGTTTATACTAGATTTGATGCAATCTGATACTGCTTTAACTGCCATAGTTCAATGCTATGAAACCATGTGAGTTGTAGTTCTACCAGGTTTTTAGCCTTCTCTGACAAAGAGTGCTGGTGCTCCAGCAAACTACAAATTCTGTGGTTCTACAGCATGGCAACTAAGAGTCGAACTACATTAATTTTACAATGTAGATGCATACTTCCTTTTCAGTGACCGGACATGCATTATCATTTCCTCCATTCCAGGTGTGCCATAGAGAAAGCACCCTTCCATGCAGCCATATAACCCAGAATATCAAGGCAAAAAAAAAAATCCCACAGTATCTGCTTTGAACTGGGTTATCTGAGTCCACACTGCCATATATTCCAGTTTAAAGCAGAAAATGTGGCATTTTATTCAGCTGTGTAGAAGGGGCCTAAGGGGCCTTCCACACAGTCCTATTTCCCAGAATATCAAGGCAGAAAATCCCACATTATCTGAGTGTGGACACAGATAACCCAGTTCAAAGCAGGTATTGTGGGATTTTCTGCCTTGATATTCTGGGATATAGGGCTGTATGGAAGGGGCTTAAGTAATCTAAAGATTTTACACTGAAATAATAGTTACCAAATCGATCTAGATAAAAACCCAAGCCCTTTAAAATAAATCGACCAGTGAGGACCTTCCTTTTTTGGCGCAAAGAGAATTGAGTTCCTCTCCCGCCTTGGAAATTCACGCGGGCCATCTGGAGCACCCCTTAAAATATTGCACCAAAATTAAAACAAAATAGAGCAACCTCGCTTTCAAATTAAGTCATCCATGGAAACCATAGGATCATTTCCACTATTGTGGGGGATACATCTTAAAAAGGCATTTTCTCTCTCTTTGCTATGAGAGAAATTACCTTTTTGGGGAAATGGCCAGGAAATACCCCCCCCCCCCCAATACACACTTATTTCCCTCTTAATCAAATTTATAGTATTTAAAGCAATATCATTTTACTCCCAATGCAAAACTCACCAGCCAACCTTGCGGGACATCCTGTTCTGTCCTAGATTTTAAAAATAATAACAATTAGGCAAGAATATAAATTAAAATAACGATCCCGAAGAAGAAGAAGAGGTGGATGAGGTTATAGCAGCAGCAGCAGCAAGAGCAACAGTGCTGGCCACCATTGCAAGGAAGGAAAGGGGAGCCCAGGATTAGCGCGCGCGGATGGCTCGCGCCCGCCCGGGTCTCCAAAGCAGCAATTTTTTCCTATCTCGCGCCAACCCCGCCCCCGGCTGCCAGCCAGCCAACCACTTTCTTCCGGCGTGGTGACGTGCCGTGCGCGCGGCGGACGAGAAACGAAAACCTATTGGACCTGGGGTGGAAAGAAGCGGGGCCAAAGTGGTGCGCGCGGGCAAAGTTGGGAAGCTGCTGGTTTAAGAGGCTCAAGTCAGCAGATCCTTCCAGCTGTGCATCATCCCAGGCTAGTAGCGATCAATATAATCAGATCAGCACTGTGGGTTCCTCTTTTGTAATTTTTTTAATTAACTAACTTCCTTCATTCCTTCTTTTTTTAAAAAAAAACTCCCACATAGAGTTCATCTATTCTACACTATAGAATTGATGCAGTTTGATACCTCTTTTAACGACCTTGGCTCAATGCTGTGGAATCCTGGGATTTGTAGCTTGGTGAAGCACCAGCAACTGGCAGACCTTGTAAAACTGCATCTTTCAGAATGTCATGGAATTGAGCTATGGCAGATAAAGGAAAAGGTTTTCCCTTGACATTTAGGCCAGTCGTGTCTGACTCTGGGGTTTGGTGCTCATCTCCATTTCTAAGCCGAAGAGCCGGCATTGTCCATAGACACCTCTAAGGTCATGTGGCCAGCATGACTGCATGGAGTGCCGCTACAATCCCACAAAAGGGGTACCTATTGATCTACTCACATTTGCATGTTTTTGAACTGCTAGGGCCAAATTCGAGGTGCAGGTCATGACCTATAAAGCCCTAAACAGTTCAGGCCCCGCCTGTCTCCGCGACTGCATCTTCTTCTATGAACCGGCGCGAGCTCTAAGATCTGAGGAGGCGCTCCTCTCGGTCCCACTACCGTCTCAAGCACGGTTGGTGGGGACGAGAGAGAGGGCCTTCTCAGTGGTGCCCCCCCCCTCTGGAACGCCCTTCCAAAGGAAATAAGACAGGCCCCATCCCTCCCCTCCTTTCGTAAGAGCTTGGAGACCTGGTGGTTTCAACAAGCCTTTGAAAATGACCAGTTCTAACCCAGCCCCACACATTGTCTAATACGGCCTTATTCTTCCTACCAGTTACCCAGATTCTTTCCTCTAATCGGCCCCGGAATGAACAGCCGCAGACCCGTACCTAATATTATTGTTGCACTTGATTCCCAGGCCCCCTAGAGTTTTTGGGCTTGCACGAATCTTGGCCCAGACTTTTACATTTTTAAGTGCCTTGAACAGGCAGGATTACTTTTGATATGTGTGTGTTATGGCGACAATTTTATATTTTGTTTGTTGATCTTATATTATATTTTGTTTGTTGACCGGAGCGGCGTACAGGGAGCATACCACCCCCCTGTTGCGTCAGCTCCACTGGCGGCCGATCCAATTCCGAGCACAATTCAAAGTGCTGGTTTTGACCTACAAAACCCTATACGGTTCCGGCCCAGTGTATTTGTCCGAACGGATCTCCCTCTACATCCCACCTCGAAGTTTAAGATCTTCTGGGGAGGCCCTGCTCTCGACCCCGCCACTCTCACAAGTGAGGTTGGCGGGGACGAGGAGCAGGGCCTTCTCAGTGGTGGCCCCCCACCTGTGGAACTCACTCCCCGGGAAGATTAGATCGGCGACTTCCCTTCTGGCGTTTAGGAAAAAACTGAAGACCTGGTTGTGGGACCAAGCCTTTGGTCATTCTGACAACTAATTTAAGGATCTGACGATAGACAAGGACAAATGGAATGGAATGGATATATGGACTCTGAACCCTGTGCATGAGATTGTTTTATTATTTTATTATGTATTGATGTTTTAATTTAATTGTTGAATTGTTATATTTTGTATTGTTTGTTGTGTGATTTGGGCATCTAATTGTGCCTTTCCTGTAAGCCGCCCTGAGTCCCCCCCGGGGTGAGAAGGGCGGGGTATAAGTAGATGAAATAAATAATAATAATAATAATAATAATAATAGTAATGTTGTTTTTACTCTGTATGTTTTGTGATATTACTTAGGAACCGCTCTGAGTCCCCTCGGGGAGATTTTTTTTTAATTATTATAGGTTGGCAGAATCTGGGCCTAACAGCAGGAGCTCACCCCACTCCCAGGATTCAATCCGCCAACCTTTCAGTCAGCAAGTTGAGCAGCTCAGCAGTTTAACTTAATTTTGCTGTGCCACAAAATACAACAATAAAGTCTGAAATGACTTGAAGGCACACAACAACAATCCTCATTAACATGAGTCTCTCATCAGCCAAAGGCAGGCCTACACTTCCCACTGCAATGCTGGCAAGTTTATGTTGGTTAAAATTATTTATTATTTTAAATAGTGTATTGTTCTTTCGAGGGGCCATAATGGTACAGTGGGTTAAACCACTAAGTGGCAGAAATTGCTGATCAGAAGGTGGTGGTTCAAATCTACAGATGGGTGAGCTCCTGCTGTTAGCCCCAGCTTCTGTCAACCTAGTAAAAAGGTAAAGGTTTCCCCTCACATTAAGTCCGACTCTGGGGGTTGGTGCTTTTTCTAAGCCAAAGAGCCGGCATTGTTTGTAGACACCTCCAAGGTCATGTGGCCAGCATGACTGCATGGAGCGCTGTTACCTTCCCGCTGGAGCGGTTCCTATTGATCTACTCACATTTGCATGTTTTCAAATTGCTACGTTGGCAGAAGCTGGGACAAACAGCGGGAGCTCATCCTACTCCCCGGATTCAAACCTGCAACCTTTCGGTCAACAAGTTTAGCAGCTCAGTGGTTTAACGCACTGTGCTACCGGGGGCTCCAGTTAAAGTGATACCAAACTACATTAATTCTACCGTGCAGATGCCCCCAAGAAAACAATACAAAAAGCAGATCTTCGTTGGTAGAGTCCACTTTAGTCGCCATGACTCTACTATGTCCAGTATCTCCCGGAACCAACACTATTGCTGGACTTAATATAATCCACAATATGATGATTCTTTTATACAACAATGCATCTTCTGCATAGGATGTACCTTCATTTCCTGGCAATGCCCTCTTGTATTGTTACACCGGGTTTACAAACCCATCTTGGGAAGGGGGGGGGGGGGGGAGAGAGAGAAGAAATAGCCAAATATCTGACATCTGAAATAGTAATATTAAGTTTTCCATTGATACATCCATTCAATTAACAAACTTTTGCCACACAAGTCTTATCTTAATATACATTATTCAAAAGTCACTTTACCTTAAATGACGCTGTGTGTATTAATAACGTGCATTGTTTATGGACCCAACTATCTGATGAAGACTCCTGTGAGTCAAAACCGGTTGAATGTTATGTAATAAAGAAAATAGGACATTTGGGTTGTTGTAAGTTTTTTGGGCTGTATGGCCATGTTCTAGAAGCATTCTCTCCTGACATTTCACCTGCATCTGTGGCAAGCATCTTTACTGTGCAAGGATTTGGAGTTTACTCGTCTGTAGTAAAGAGTCAAGTACTATTTCCACACATGAAGAAGATTTTTTTAATTTTTCGAGAAAAGAACAAATTATTTATTGTTAAATGTGAATGCAACAATCCTATGTTTACTGACATTTGTATTTGTATGTATACTTTCTATGTGTGTTTAGATACATTTGCATCACTGCAATTAGTGGATACTGACCTTTTTAATTCCAAGGGAACCCATTTTTCTTTGCTTTTCAACACTGTATGGAACCTAGAGAGAATTCTTTGTCAGAAAATTTTTGGGCCTCACTAATTACAAAATGCAAACAATGTTGCTATGGCATTTACAGTGGTATAATAATAATAATTGCATACTGCAAGTTGCTTCTGGCGTGAGAGAATTGACCATCTAACAAGATATTGCTCAGGGGATGCTCAAATGTGTCTTCTGTTCGGATATCAACCAGCAAGCCAATGCCCTAAATCAAGAAATAGCCTCCTAAGATCTACAGAGATATTTGCAGGAACACCTCAGCAAGCAAGAGTCCAAAAGTGGCAAGTTAAAACCTGGACCCTCAATCTGAACAGACTGCGCTCTGGCACCACAAGACGCAGAGCCAATCTTAAGAAATGGGGCTTCAAAGTGGAATCCATGAAATGCAAGGGTGGAAAACAGCCCTACACAATGGACGACCTTCTTACAGTGACACTAGAGGCACTGCAAGTGGCCAGCTTCTGTTCAAAAGAAATTTAGTATAATGCCAAGTTTTTAACTTTGTGGTTTTTTGTGCATTATAACTGTATTCTCAATTTGCTTTTGACATTACACATACACACACAATTATTCCACCATTAATCCCATGACATTATCACAGTGTAGTGATAAGAATCTCAATTTGCTGTATAAACATGTATTAATCCCAGCAAACCATCATTACATCAAACACATGGTGATCATTCTTGATGAACAGAGGAAAATTGCAACAGATTCCAAGCTGTAACACAGCTGAATAAGAATTCACCAGGAAGTTCTCCTGTGACTCAAACTGTAACAAAGGGCTTATTGCTGTATGTGTTAATCAACCTCCTGTCAATCAACAATACTACTGTTAAGATGACATCAACATGCTTTTTGCATTTGAATTTCCTTTGGCCACGGTGGCAACTCTTCCCCACCCATTCTCCTGCATAACAGTCTGCCAATTTAAAACGTCACCTTCTCTAGCTCAAAGGGAAAGAGGGAATAAATTTGTTCCCAGTGCCACATGTGATTTAATTGTAATTCTTTACTTCAATATTCTATATGGCCATTCCACACAGCCATATAGCCCAGAATATCAAGGCAGAAAATCCCACAATATCTGCTTTGAACGGGGTTATCTGAGTCCAACTCCAGCAAGGATCACCGCCTTGTCGGGGCGCTGGAGCTTGAGCACCTCAATGATGTCATGAGCGAAACCGTGAAGGGACACCCAAGACGGGACGGTTGTGGCAGAGAGGTCAGACCAAGCGTGATCCCTGGGGAAGGCAATGGCAAACCACTCCAGTATCCTTGCCAAGAAAACTAAATGGACCAGTACAAACAGAGATATGTCGGTATGCCATTGGAAGAAGGGACTCCCAGGTCGGAAGATGGCCAA